GACACTTTTTTACTGATTGGCCGTGTCGGGTGGTGGAGGGTTACGACACATTTATAAATAACGCGATCTAAACCCAAAAACGTTGATTATGAATGACAGCTATGAGTTCAACTCCTCTCAATGCACAACAATGGTCGCGAGTGGCAGTATCCGAACGTGCCCTTAAGCGATTCTACGTCGATTCGGCCTTAAAATGAGTTACTCGCCGCACCGAGATGGATGGGTGCGGAGCCGACTCAAACCACAACCTCATTGTCACTCCGACCCTAATCAGTGCTCGCCAACAGCACCTTACACACCCGCACGGAGTAGATTCTGAAGGCTGAAACGGGCATCTGTGTGTGTGCGCGCGTGTCTCATTGAACTCGTATAGACGGTGAATATTAACAGGAACTCAGGATTAGCTTCCTCGTCCTAACAGAGTGCTGGCGGACGTAGGGTACGGCACGTGAAACGACCCGCGCATCCAATCTACGTCGAAGTCCGCCGGACTCCGAGTACAAAGCGTTGTAAAAGTCAACATTAGTCGTGCGGAGACCCGAGATGGATGGGTGCGGAGCCGACCAAACCACAACCTCATTTGTCATTCTGACCCTAATAGGCGCTCGCTAACAATGCCCGCTCTAACAGTCTGAAAGCCTTAATGCGGGGGACCTTTGTGTGTTGAAAATGTGTCTGTGCATGAGGCTGGGTGTGTGCGCGCACTTGGGACCGGGTCACGAGGGAGTAGGGATCTCGCTCAGAGGCGTGCACGCGCGCGCGAGCGCACACAAAACAAAAGGACAAAGATGCCCTGTTCAGCCTTATAGACTGTCGGGGGGGAGGGGGGGGAGTTCTGCTAGTGAGCACCTATTAATGTCGGCGCACCAAACAAAAGCGGGCACCGGCACGCGCACCCAGCCGTCTTTGTATCCCCGGCGCTTACAATTCAAGCGCCGCACACCCGAAAACCGATTCAAGGCCGAAATGACCTGGGAGAAAGCCCATGCCGGATTTGCCCGCTCGTGGGATCGAACCCTGGGTTTGCCGGGGTTGAAGGCAGGAGACGCACCGCGCCACCAAGCCCGGCCGACACGAGTTCAATCCCCGGCCGCACACAACGCAGGCAGCAGCACGTGGGAAGACAAAGGCGGCCTGGGGGGGGGGGGCGTGGCGTTTGCCACACCACCCTCTCGGCGGGCGTAAACGAGTGCTCGCTAACGGCACTCAGCCCAACAGTCTGCAACGGCTACACGGGGGGGGGGAGGAGGAGGGGGGAGGTCTTTGTGCAGCGAGCGCGCGTGTGCGTGTCCGTCCGTGCCACTTGGGGATGCGAGTGGGGCTGGGTCGTCGTTACGTTTGGGAATAGGAGGTGATGAGGTCGGGACAGACAGGCGGAGGAGGAGGGAGGAGGCTGGTTGTTGGTAGCGTCTGTGTCTAGGAGTGGTGGTGTGGGTGGGTGGGTGTCGGGGAAGAGGTGGGGGGTTGGTGGTTAGGCGGTGGGAGTGGGCGGAGTGGTGCGGATATACCCGGTTTGAGGCCACGAGGGGCCACCAAAACAAAAAACCAACAAAACACGCGACAATGACAGCTGTCAGTTCCCATAGAGGGAGCACCAAAGCTCTCAACAATTCAGCCGCCCCCCCCAAACCGCACCCACCCAAAAGCTCCCCCCCCCCCCAACCTCTCCCCGAGAAGGCCACCCCACCCCCTCTCCGCCAGCCTTGCCAGATCCAGGAGGTTTATACCTCTGGATCTGAAGTGGCGGCATTGTTCCGGGCGCCTGCCGAGCTTTTCGCGAGTGCCGCCCTGTGAGCTTTTCTCCGCCAAAAAGCGTGGAGCTCCCAGCAGGGACGTGGAGTGAAACGTCGGACGTCGTACCCGATGGGACTCGCGGCACGACCGGAAAGACACGTGCGAGAGTTGTTTGCTGTGTTTTCATAAAAAAAATATTAAAATGTGAACATTTGGAATTCAATTCAAGTAATATTTTTTAACTTTACACTCGAACATGGACTGCTCTTGCTCATGACGTCACAAGATCTCGAACGTCTACCACGAGGCAGACAGACAACTGTTCTTGGTTGGTACGCCCGCAGTATTAACCAGGGCGGCCGCTAGGCTCGAACCACAAAACCACCACCACATCGCTTCTAATTGCCTCCACGACCACCAACAACCACCCCCACCACTCCAAACCTCTTCACACCACCAACAGCACTGCCACCACTCCTGGCCGCCACCTCCTCCTCCACCACCACCTCCGCTCACGCTTAAAAACAAAAGCCACGAGGCCCGGGTGGGCACTGGGTCGAACGCATCTGCGCAGCCGCCTGCGTTGCCAACTGTCGGCAGGGGTGACACGGGGTGGGTGGGTGGGGGGGAGATCGATACACTCAGCCCTGGGGGCCCCGCAGCAGTCGGCATCGATAATCGCCACTGCTGAGCACCAATTTTTTTTTTTTTACGCAGAGCAAAGCACTTAATATCCTTGTTCGGCGACCGCAGAGCACCCTTGTTAAGCGCAGATCGTTAGGATCACGCACGCACACCGGTTTTACGCCGCGTTTGTCCGTCCGTGTGTACAAGGGGCTGCTGCTGCTGCTTTGTTTTTTTTTGTTGCCGGGTTCCGGAGAGAGGAGGAAGAAAACCGCACACACCCTCCGAAACAAAAGTGACGAAACTCGGGCGACAAATCGGGTTGACGGACGCACCGACAAAGCAGACGGCGCAGGCACGGACGCAACGGCAGACAGGCTGGCAGAACGAAACAGAGGCGGACAGACCAACAGACAAAACGGATGAGAGACACCGATTGACAGACCAACAGACAAAGATTGCTAGACGAAAATACACAAAGAGATGGAGAGACCAACAGAAAGACTGACAGACAGACCGAGAGACGGACAGACCAAGAGACAGGAACGTTACGTATGCTATACAAAACCACAATTGGAGGTGTATTCTGTGATACAGTGTGTTCCATTAATTTGGAAACTCACCATAAACAGATTTTCAATGTTTTTTTTTACATGGATGTTCTTTGCGTTTTGCAGAGGTAGCGCCATTAACAGCTGGCCACCTTCATCTCCCCAGTACTGATGTTTACACACTGCACCCCAGTTGGTCATTTAAGGCCGAGTGGACCTAGAGAAGGCCCATGACTGGCTTAGACTTCAGGTCAACGATGGTGGCCGTGAGCGAGATTCCAACTTGGGCCGCAGGGTTCGTAGCGCATTAACCGCTGCACTACCCGCTCCCCAAAGACAAAGAGCCCCCTGCCCCCATCTAGCCTGTAACAGACTGTAGGGGCAAGTGCTGTTAGCGAGCACCTATGAAGGCCGGCACGGCACACGAGCGGGCGGGTGGCCAACGCCACGCCCGGACCTGCCTTTTGTCCCCCGAGGTGGCGATGTTTACGCACCGAACCGGGTGCTCATTTGAGGCCGAATAGACCTAGGGGAGGCCCAGGACCGGTTAGGATAATCGTCATTGATGTTGGCCACGAGTAATAAATCAAGCCCGTGTCGCCAGGTTAGCTACACTGCCGCTCTAACCCCCCCCCCCCCCCCACACAAACACACACATAATGTACCGCGCACTCGGTTATACAAGGAGAGAAACCACCACACGCTTTCAGGTAACACGCACACGCAGCACGGTCCGACGACACCACGAAAGATCAGGCGCGCTTGGCTGGGAAATTTACCCGCGACAGAGAGCACCACAAACGACGCAGTCACACCGGGCACCGGTTCACCTGCATTGCGAGCACGCAGCAGAACTCTCTTGCAAATGCCCACAGGAGGGAGACTTCTTTATTTATTTGTGTTTTAGTAAATGGTGTAAAAGATTTCAAGGGCTGTAAAGGGAGGTTTTGCATGGAATGCCATGACAAGCGTATTTACAGATCGTAAAATAGGTAAATGCGTGCTGGTTACTCATTCGTCCGAGGATCATTAAAAGCCTGTCAAATGATGGGGCGGGCAAGAGGATAGTTTTCCCTCTACAGATGGAGTGGCTAAGACCTCCACTGCTCAGTTTATGAGTTAATCAGAGTATTTATTTAACCTGGGAGGAATCTGACAAGCTAGAAAAGTAGGGGCAGTTCACAATGTTAACAACAAATACAAATACACAAACGGGAGCGCAACGTATAGCCAATCACTAAAAAAATATATAGACACATTCAACTAAACTAATTGTATCTTACCAGGTAAAGCCCACTATAGTATTAACTTATTTTATAGAAGCAACCAGGCCACCCACCCCCCCACCACCGTCCCCAGACGCCACCACCTACAGCCTCCATTTCGCCAAACCAACATTACCAGCGTGATGAAGTATGGCGATAAAAGAATAACCCCCTTGATCGACAAAGTATGGGGAAACCTTCATCCAGCAGTGGATTGACACGGGGCCACTAAATCACTGTACCGTTCAATTGATTAAATGGAAATGACAAATGCCCTCTGTGACTCATTGAGAACTAAACCACCCAGGCTCGGTCAAATTTAAGCGCAATTAGCGAAAGGCCAGGACAAGAAATACGTGATAAAATAAATGTCCATGTCACCACCACCAACAACACCAGCAGCGACGTTTTGTTCCATCAGTATTCCGAATCAACATTTACAGCAGCGTGTGTTTAAAAGCAGGAAAAAAACCCGTTCTGGCTTCAACTTTCTGAATCCCATCAGCAAAATGCGGCCACCAGTTAGTTGTCATCATTTTTTTTTACGAATTCCCCACGCGTGGACGGATGAGTTGGAAGCAACCTGAAGAGGGGGGGGGGGGGGGGGTAGGGCACGGGGGGGCGCATGCCCACAAACTCCACAGCTCCCAGCGGTGCTGGCCCGGCGTTTTGACCCCGGCCTCGCACCAGCCAGGCAGCCAGCCCCCCCGCGAGACTCCACCGCAGCTGTCTCGAAAGTCGACGGCAGGATAAATTTAGCGAGAAAAAGCCGGGGAGCCAGCAGCAAAAAACAACAAAACAACACGAAAGGGCGAGCAGCGTTTACCTGGCTCCGCGTTCCACGTAGGCTCGTGCCCTTGGCGATGGCAGGGAAGCAGCGGGGGGCTTGATCCGGGCCCAAAGAAGTACGTTCCCGTGTAGCTCAGGTTCCTTCCGCCGTAGGCCATGGAAGGGGTCATCGCGTCCGCAAAGCCGTGGGGTGCCCGCGGCTGCTGTGGCCGTAGCCGGGGCGGCTGCGGCGGCGGCACCACCGCAAGCCGAGACGCGAACAAGCGGGGGCCCAGCAGGGAGGGGTGCGTGCGATTGCGCCGGGAGGTCGGCGCCGGCTCCAGGGTCATCCCCGTCCTGAGCGGCCGCGCCCCGGGCCCGAGATCGTACGGCGGGCGCTTGTCGGCCGCGCGCGACCGGTCGGCGCCCGGCCGCTTCGTCGACAGGTCCAGCGGGACGTCGTCGTCTACCGCCGACGACGACGCCGACGAGGTCGCCGGTACGAAGTCCACGCCGCCCGCCGTTACCGACGGCTGGAAGCCGACGCCGGTCAGGAAGCATCCCGAGTACGGGACGGAGAAGGAGGGGGGCGGCGGCGCGATACGCCGGCAGTCCAGGGGCTCGGCCGGGGGGCTCCACGGCACCTGCGGCAGCGTCCCGGGCGTCTGCTGGTAGCCCACGCCCTGCGCCGCCAGGACACCTTCGCCCCCGGACTTGCTCTGCAGCACGGCTCCCGACGCCGCCGCCGACGCCACCGACAGAATGGGCGGCGTGGCGGAGACGACCACGGGAGGCCGCCTGCAGTCCCGGATCGCGGCTAAGGGGCACTTGCAGGCGTCGGCGCGCGAGTTGGCGAACGCCTCGGCCTCCGCCCGCTCCACTCCCGGGGCACCGCCGGCGACGGCGGAGGCGGGCGGGTGCAGGGAGGCCGCGTCCGTCTCGGACAGCATGGAGCCCTGCGCTAGAGAGCAGTCCTGGCCCGGCCCGGCCGACGCTGCCAAGCACGGGCTGCGTCTGTTCACCAGCGTGCTGCTGCCCCTCGGCTGCTGCTGCTGTTGTTGCTGCTGCTGCCGCTGCTGCACTCCACTACCACCGCCGCCGCTGGCTGTCGCTCGATGCCTCTCGGGCACCGGCGGCGCAGGCTGCGGAGCGCACGGAGCGGCCAGCGCCAGGTCGTCGTCGTCACGCTCCAGCAGCAGGTTCACCAGCGCCTCCGCGTTCAGGCTGGCCACCCGGCGCTTCCTCACCGGCTGCCCGTCGTCGGGCGCCTCCCGCAAACCGCGCCACCGGTGGTTCGGCTCGTGCTGCTGCTGGCCGTGGCCGCCGTGAGCGCGGCGACGGACGCCCGGCAGGCGGGCGGCCCAGCCGCCGACGTCATAGCCGTCCTCCTCCTCCTCGTAGTCGTCGTCATCATCGTCGTCCGAGCTGGGAGCCCCTCGCCGCTTGTGGCTCCTGCGCGCTGCCCCGCGCGGGGGGCCGCACGCGAAGAGCGCGACGGCCGCCTTGCGCTTCCTGGGCGCCACGTCGGCGGCGCTCAACCCCTTGGCACCGCAGTCTCTCGTCGCGCGCAACGAGCCGCCGTCGCCCTCCTCCGCACGCTCGCGCTGCTGCAGCTGCAGCTGCTGGTGCTGCTGGTAGGAAGGCGGTGGGGGTCGCGGCGGCGAGGGCACGAGCCCGCCATCGCCCTTGGGCGCATCAGACGACGCTCCGGCCAAGCGGAAGGCCGAGAACCGCTTGCGCAGGGGGTAGGTCTTCCACACGCCGCTCGAGTGCGAGGAGTCATCGACGTCGCCCCTCCTCGCCGCGGTCGCGACGGCGGCAGCGGCGGCAGAGGCGGCGGCCGCCCTACTCGCCTGCTGCAGGTCGCTGTCGCAGGGCGGGCCCAGCCACACCTGCAGCAGGGGGCTCTGCATGTGGCTGTGCGCGCGTCCCGCCAGGGCTGACGCCATCGCACCGCCTGCGCCCCTGTGGAGGAGAGGCGTGCACGGTGGCAGGCGGGGGGGCGGGGAGCGGGTTCTGTTAGACTCTTCGGGCACCAGCGCCCGCTATGGCCCTACCTGCTGCTAGAGGCACAGCGCAAGCAGCACACGTACGTACCGACGCCGTCAGAAAATGCGCACGCCGCTGTTGGGTGCTATCCATGTGTAAACCACGATTATTCTTATTACACGAATTTAGAATTTCATTTCTCCAGCACTGGAGTGCATGTGCCGTGTACGAATGTGCAGCCCCTTGCAAGAGCAAGTGGTCAGGTGTGGCCACATCTCTGGGTACTTAAAAACTATAAACGGTTGTTTATAAGGCCCACTGAGCTGTACAACTCTTTTTCAGAGGTGACCTGGCCACACATGATAGCTTGTTGATTCTAAATGGAGGGAATAACCAGAGGACCCGGATAAACATCCACACAACCACGGGGAGAACACGCAAACTCCAAATATACAGCAGGCATCGGGGGTGGGGATCGATCCCACGACCTCCTGTGTACCAGGCGAGGCAGTTAACAGCGCGCCAACGAGATGTTCTCCGTGGTGCATCCTCAGCCAATCAATCATCCAATTTCCTTCCGCTGATTCAGACTCTCCGGGAAAGAAGGGGGCTCATCTTGTTGATAGCCAAGCTTAATTCACTGCCGCACACGTACGCGCACGCACATAGACAAAGACCCCCGTATAGCCTCTTCAGGCCGCTGGAGCAAAGGGCTGTTAGAGAGAGCGCATATGGTGCAAAGGGCGGCAGTGTGGCCAGCACCACGCCTGGCTAACCTTTGTCTGCCCATTGCCGAGGTTTGCATGCTGCATTAGGTACTCATTTCAGGCCGAGTCAACCGAGGGGAAGCCTTGGATTGGTTCTGATAATCATAACTGATATAGGCCATGGCCTGGAATCCAAGTCGGGTCCACCTGGATCGTAAACGCAGCTCGCCACAACTACCGTGTCAGCGCATCAACATCACAAACACACCACATGGGCAAAGACCCCACCACCCCCCCCCCCCCCCCCCGTCTAGCCATCAAGACTAAGACAGGGCGAGTGCCCTCACACGCACGCACGCAAAGTCTCTATGCAGATGCGATGGCCGGCGTTTGCAATATCCCTGAGAATCCGGTGAGCGATCGGAACGCAAGCGTGGCTAACGGGGCCCGCCGGCATCTGTATCCCGCGCGTGCGCGCCACTCGCAGAGGAGGAGGGCGCCGACGGGAGGTGCCAAGAGGAGGGTCGGGCGGGCGGGCGGTTCGCACAGGTGGCGGGAATTAAGAGCGAAGGAGCATTCCGTTTGTCTTGTAAGGAGACGAGCCAGACGAAACCGCCCGGCTCTGTCAGGGCCCATTACTTAGTCCAGTAAGGGGGGGGGGGGGGGGGGAGGCAGTGTGCGAGAGATAGCGGAACGGAGCGGAGTGGTGGGGGAGTGTTGAGTGAGTGAGCGTGTGTGGGTGTGTGGGTGGGTGACCGAGTGCTTTGGCGAGTGGGTGGATTGCCAAGTGACCGCTCAGGCGTGTGGTGGATTGGTGAGTGAGCGAGGGGGTGGATTGGTGAGCGAATGAGTGGACCGATGACTGAGTGAAGTGAGTCGGTGAGTGGATAGGCAAGTGGGTGGACCGATAAATGAGTGGATGGATGGGACTGGTGAGTGAGTGGATAGGGAAGTTGGTGAATTGGCAAATGAGTGGGGTGGATGGATTTGTGACCGAGCGAGTGAGTCGGTGGGTGGAGTGGCGAGTGAGTGGATGGAATGGTGAGTGAGTGGTTGGGTGGATGGTAAGTGGGTGTATCGTGGAGCGAGTGAGGTAATGTTTGAGTGAATGATTGGATTGCTGTCGAACGAGAGTGATTGGATTATTCTTTGAAGGTGTGGGTCGGTATTTGAGGAAGCGAGTGTTTGACAGTGTGACCTAGTTTGTGGATTTGTGAGCGAGATAGTGCGATTGAGAGAGCCGGTGTCAGATTTAACGCCTGAGTTAGTGGGTTGGCGTTTTGTTACAGCACTTGAGTCGACGAGTCCATGAGTCACTGGTTTTCACACGTTCCGGTGTTCGGTGGGAGCGAATACTCGCACGAAGCAGCTTGTCAAAATCAGAGTCTTTATTTAGACTGCAGAAGGAATCCGTTGAGGTATGAAGCTCTGTTTCACGGATGTCCAGCATGTGACCGACTTGCCATGAAGGGGTAGTGACCGCGAGCAGGAAACCAACCAGGTGAGCGAGTGAGTGAACGAACGGACGCCCACTCCCCATATCGCGACCGAGCGTTTCCACGCCACGTTTGACCGCCGAGCGATCAGCCGCCCTGGCCTCACCGACCTCGGGTTTTTCCCGGCCAGCTGTGGGCCAAGCCTCGGCCTCCACGGAGGCTCGCGAAAGACGATGACACCCGGAGCACGTGCGGCAGCGAGCGCCACACAAAGCCAAAAGCGTAAAACTCCCCCTGCTAGGATCGAGTGCTATTAGAGAGCACCTCCAAAGGTCAAAGACAAAGATCCCCTCCACACCCCCCACCCTCACCCCATAGCCTGTGCAGGCTGTTGGAGAGAGTGCTGTTCGCGAGCACCTGTGAAAGCCGGAACAGCACACAATATTTTTTCTTTACAATTTTTATTTTACCAGGTAAGGCCCACCGAGTTGTACAGCACTTTTTCAGACGCGACATGGCCACACGTAATAGCTCAAAGTTTATAGCAGCCAAACCCTCTAAACGCACGTGGATTCCAAATGTGGAGGGAATAACCAGAGGACCCGGAGAAACATCCCTCCAAATATACCAGCGTCAGGGTCTGGATCAAACCCACGACCTCCTGCATACCAGGTGAGGTAGTTAACATTTCACCACGTTGGTGTCGCTAACACCATGCCCGGCCGCCTTTGTCTCCCCAGCGCTGTCGTTTACACACACCTCATCACATTCTTGCTCGTTTAGGGCTGTGGAAGGCCGAGTCAACCTAGCGGTAGACGAGCACTGGTTCTGGACACCGTGTATCAGTGAAATGGAGCATGGCCAGAAGCTGAACCCGGTGCATTAACCACCGCGTTTGCTTCTCAACGACACACGCACGCACGCAGGCAGGCAGGCACGCGTACGTGTGCACGCGTACGTGTGCACGCAGGCGTGTGCACGCACCCACACAGAGATGGCCCATGTAGCCCTGCATGACTGTCGGGGCGAGCGCTGTTAGCGAGTAATTATTAAGGGCTGAACGGTACAAAAGTCAGTGGTGCGGTAAGGGTTACGCAGGATTGGGTTTTGAGTCACCCCATTGCAGTTCCTTTAAACACCGTACTATATACTCGTTTAAGGCCGAGTCGACCTATGGGAGGGCTCGCGACCGGTTCAGATAGGTTTAGATCATTTGCGTTGGTTGTTAGCCATGTAACTGGGAATTGATTTCAGGTGGCCGGGATTTGCAACGCAGTGCGCTAATCACTGTGCTCGCGCGCTCCCCACAGATACACACGCTCACATGTGCACAAAGACAAAGATCCCCCGTGTGGCCTCAGACTGTTGGGGCAAGCGCTGTTCGCGAGTGGCGCTTATGAAGGCCGGCACGGCACGCGACGGGGTGGGTGGCAAACACCACGCCCGACGGCCTTGGTCTCCCTCGTGGCGATGTTTTACACGCCGCACCAGGTACTCGCATTTGAGGCCGAGTGGACCACGCACCTGCACACGTTCCAAAGCCTTGCAGAGGGAAGCTCAAGAAAGCACACGGCAGCGGCCCACACACGCACGCGCAGGACGGCAGAACGAGCCGACAGGGAGGGTTGTTTTTTTTTTATGGTCGGCACGAACATTACATTGCCATGGAAGTGTGCAGGCGGTGCAATTGCACCGCGGTACACGGGCCGAATGGGCCCAAGGCAACGGGGCTACAAAAGGAGGGGTGACGGAGGATGGAGGGGGAGGGCCCGCAACGCCATTTTATAGAGGGCTCGTGCCACGGACACCACTGGCCTACACAGAGGCCTACAATCATGCGACAGAGGCCTATCGGTCTTACACAGAGATCCAGGGACACGATAACGATGCTACCGATGGTAACGGTGGCGGGGTGGTAGGGGGGCAGGCGCCCGTTCAACAAGACCTCCACTAAGCGGACGTCTTGTCAAGTCCTATTTAAAATCAGGGCTGCGTGCCGACCCCCCCCCCCCCCCCCGGCCGCAGCTCTCGCTGCCACTTAACGGTCCCCTTTGCTCTCACCGCCTCCTCCCACCGTCAAGGCGCAGAGAAATGCAGGCGGCCTCCCTCCTCCTCCTCCTGCCGCTGCTACTCTTCCTCGAAAAACAGCCGGGCCACGAGTCCAATCAATCAGCGCGCGGCAGGCAAAGCAGAGGGAGTTATCGGGAGGGATGTTACGGCCGCTAAATTGGAGGGGAAGGGATGCTCGGGTTGGAGGGTGGGGAGGGGGCCGCGTTGGTGAGGTGCAGGGGATGGAGAAATCTCTTGGATGCAATTTATTTATTTAATTTTGTGATCTGCCCCCCAAGTGTCGAGGCCGATCTCCAATGGCCACACACGAGTGTGAGAAGTTGTCCGCCACCCCGCCTCGTGCGTGCGTCCGGGTATCACGCACGCGACCCGCTGTCGATTTAGCCAGCAGTCGTACTCTAAGTCTGTGGATATCATTTTGGCATTCACGTAGTCCAGTTGACTAAAGCAGTACAATATTTAGGCTAATCTTCGCGCTTAAGTGTTACCACTGCAAGGTGTGTGTGCGTGGGTCGTGTGTAGGCCTTCATTAGGTACTCGCTAACAGCCTGGTGCGGTGTAAACATCGCCACTGGGGAGACAAAGGCGGCCGGGCGAGGTGTTGGCCACCCACCCGCTCGTGTGCCGTGCTGGCCTTCATAGGTGCTCGCAAACAGCACTTGCCCCTACAGTCTAAGGCTATATGGGGGATCTTTGTCTTTGTGGTCGTGGGGGATTCTGTACTTCTAGCACGCTGGTCAGTGTGGTTTGGTGAAGGCCGGGA